GATCCTGATTTCCAAATGGCTCTATGACAACTATACCTTATCCCTGAATGTCCCTCAGGTAATGCAAAGCCAACAAATACAAAACCAAACTAGTACCTTTCCTCCACCAACCCCTCCAGTTATCTTCAGTCTTGACGTCATCCTTATTCACTGCCTATTACCAAAACACCTAGGACCATTCTGATCTCTCCTGCTCTCAATGAGTTATCAGTTTATAATAGTTCTAACTTCAAATACATCTCTGGAGCTGAGGCCCACTGCTACATTCCCCATGCTTGCTACTTCTTACTTCAAAATTATTGCACAAGACTCCCAAGTAGCCTGCCCAAGTCCAGTTTTATAATTACTAAGATATTCATTCATTTCTAAACATACAAACTACTTAAAATATATAGTGAGGGCTGGGATTGTGGCTCAGTGGTACAGCACTTGGTAAGCACATGTGAGGCACTGGGTCTGATTCTCAGCACCACATACAAAAATAAATAAAGTTATTTAAAATATATATATATATACACACACACACACACACACACACACACACACACAGAACTCTTTAATGGTTATCTCTACATAGAAGGGGTCAGATCCAAGGAAACTTCTGTTATTACTCAAAGATCACACATGCAACAATCATTATCAAGCAAAAACCACTGTACTTGGGATCAGGAATGCAAAATTAAATATGGTGGCCTCCTCAGGGAGCTGATAATCCCTGTCAAAGAATAGACAGCTAAGTGCTTCAGCAGAGATTTGCTATGGAAACACAACCCATTAAGAAATTCCTCAAGATGGGCTGTGGATGTGGCTCAAGTGGTAGCCCGCTCCCCTGGACTGCGTGAGGCCCAGGTTCGATCCTCAGCACCACATACAAACAAAGATGTTGTGTTCACCAAAATCTAAAAAAAAAAAATAAATATTAAAATTCTCTCTCTCTCTCTCTCTCAAAAAAAAAAAAAAAAAAAAAATTCCTCAAGATGTAATCTAGTACCTGTCTGTCTTGTTTCCAGAAAGGATTATACTGTTCTAGACCATTCATGAACAAACCCACATTCCTAAAGCTTTCCTAGAGGGAAAAATTCCCTAACTTCCCTCTGCATTGCATTATTCACACTTCCTTCACCATTTAAAGTGAACACACTGATATCTTTTCCTCTGCAATATCTGAAACAAGTAGCCATCTTCACCATTTCACATATGGCTTTACTAGCATTAAATCAGTTTAATATTATTTCTGGATACATAAAAGGTCATTTTCTGCAGTCTTTAGCTGTAGATCAACATATCCAATTGAACATGTTTAAAAGTGCATGCTGTGGAACCCAAAACCTAGTCAAATTTCCCAACATTCATCATTTACTCTTGGCACCTTGAAGATAAAATTCAGAATTAGCTAAACATTTAATATGTTACTTTTCAAAGCTTACCTCAAACTTCGCCAGTAATATTGAAATCTGGAGAAAAAGTTGATTTTCCAGCAGATAAAACTCCAGTAGAATGACTTCAAAGTGGTAACCACAGATGGAAACACTGTCATATACACAGCTGTCCTCCAAACGACAGCATGGAGAGGAACCTCATGCTTTACTAAACAACGTCTGAAATGAAGAGCAACGCAAAAACACATTGATATTAAACATTATCTAATTCAACGTTCTGTTCCTAAGAAAATCATAGGTAAGAAATGGAAGGTTTTAGGAATGAAGGTGCACACAGAAGCCTAAGGGAGTGACTGAGTGACTGGGTATACCAACAGAACCCTCGACGTGAACGACGTTACCACCCGGGTCAGTTTAGACAGAAAGAAGCCAGAACCGCCACCACAATGCCCACGAAGGCAGAGGCCCTGCAGGCAACTCCAGAACAAGGCGTCTGTCCTTCCGCAGCTACCAGACACCAAACGAGGGGTGGGGAAGCAAGGGCGCCACCCACCAGAAGCCTACCTCAAGGCCCAGAATCCCGCTCGCCCTCCCGCAGTGGCCTCGCAGGGCCCGAGCAGCCCGGGGGCCGCGGCCCGCCCGCCTCCGGGCCAACCGTCGCCACCCCCAGCCCCGAATCGAGCTGCCGCCCCGGGCGTGGGTGCACGCTAGACACCGCCCCTACTCACCCAGCCCACCCCCAAGGCTCCGGGAGCAGTCACTGCTGCAAAGACGCCCACGGAGGGAAGGCGCGTCCAGCGGCACCGCCAGTGCGCGTGCGCATGTGCGTACCGCCCCCAGCCGGCCTTACCGTGGGCCCTCGGGTTTACGTGAGTTCGCGTCAGAAGGCGAAGGGCGGGGGCGCAGAGTCGGCCTTGGATTGGGTGGCGCGGGGTGACAGCGCGGCTGGAGCCGCTGATTGGAGGGGCCCGCGCGCCCTGGGTTTGAAGCTGCGCGGCCGCGGCCGCCGGGTAGCGGAGTTGGGGTGCCGCCCCTGACGCCCTGGCCTGCTTGGAAGCGGAGCTCACCGCGCTCACTTTGGAACCCCAGGACACTGGCTTTCGCCCCCGCGAATGATATCCTCCCGTCCTTAGCAGCCGCGGACCTTTCCTACCACCTCTTGGCAGGCGCTGAAATGTGGCAGTTTGCTTTCAGTCATTCAGACCAAAAAGGTCTTGCGAACCTTTCATTCAAAATTTATCGCAAAAGGTTTTCATACAGTCCTTTACCTCAAAATTTCTTCCATATAGTGTCAGGTAAAAGAGGTCCCTCTTTCCCAAAGCTAATTCCTTAACTTCATTCAGCAGTTACTGGATATTTTTTAAAGATGCACTTGGGAGACATGAAGAGGGGAAAACACCGAGTTGAATTTAAACTTGGTTTAAACTTGATCCATTCATTTGATTAATTTGTTTCCTCAAAAAAAAATTGCCTAGTTATTAATCCTGTTTACCCTTTCTACTGGTTCCCTTCTCTATGAAAAATGCTGCTCCTCTCTATACATACACACACCTTCCATTATTCTGCTTTATGGCCTCTTTGCACCTCTCTTGATCTCTCCTCTTAAAACCCTCCAGACCTAGTAGCATCTTCTGAGTACTGTGATCAGGGTCAAGTTGAACCAAGGGCCAACGTAAACTTGTAGGTTCTCTATTGATGGTATAAATTTTATGACAGTGTTTTCCAGACTTGGTCATTTGTTTACCACTTCTTGGTCACTTTGCTATATTCATGATTTTCTAGTGACAAAGAGATCTGCAGGCAGTAAAGCCAAGCTACCTACATCTGAGTGCTGGCTCTCCCTTGTTTCATCCTAGCTTTGTACCTTGGATGAGTAGCAATAAGCCCAGTTTTCTCATCTGTAAAAGCATATTTAGATGACTGGCCCCAGAGGCTTGCTGTGAGGATATAAAGCAGTTAACTCATGTAAAGTATCTAGGAAAGAATTGGTACACAACAGTACTCAACAAACATTAGCCATCATCTTACACCTCAATATCTAACCTTCTTGCCCACTGAAAATGAGGAATAGAACTCTTGACTCCAAATCTCCTTAGACATTTAGTAGGGCCAACACAGGCCCCACCACATAGTAACGGATGCCTCAAAGTCAAACATCTCCCATAGCTTCTTTACCAAGGGCTCTAAATGTTACGCCTCAGCCACAAATATTCAAAACCTTCCACAATGAATGATTCCAGATTAATCTCCCACTGGCTCCTTAAATGTTCTCTGCTCTTCCATCAGACTTTTACCTATTTCCTAAGCACTTTACCCTGTTTCACCTTCCTCCACCTCAACTCCACCTGTTGAAATCCCACATCCCTTCCAAATCTTGCCAGCTCAGTTAAGTAAATGCCAACTATACAGTTTCTACCTTTCTTACAAAGCAGAACCCATTTCCTTTTATAAACTGGAAATGCCTTCTCCCACCAGAATGTATGCAGACTACTTTTCTATTTCTTGTATGTCTTATGGTGTTTTGCACATAGTAAGTGCCCAGTATGCACTAAATTGGAGAATGGTCTCAACTCTTTGTCACTCCAACCCCAGTTAACTCCAAAATGATGGAAACCTCAAAGACATGAATTATTAATTCTGAGCTAGATCCATCCTTAAACTGGAGTCTTTGCTTTGATCCGACATAATCTAAAAGTCCTTTAACAAAAGGAAAACCATCAAGAATTATTTGAAAAGGATTTCTTTTTACACTGGAATGCTAACTTTACACACAAAACATCTAATTAAAAAACAAAATTCATATATTCCTTAAACTAAATGTAGTATATATTCTATCTGCTCTCTATCCTATGAACGTTAAAAACCTGAGGCTGGGGCTGGGGCTGGGGCTGTGGCTCAGCGGCAGAGCGCTCATCTAGCACATATGAGACACTGGGTTCGATCCTCAGCACCACATAAAAATAAATAAAATAAAGGTATTGTGTCCAACTACAACTAAAAAATAAAAATATTTTTAAAAAAAACTATGAGGCTGGATGCGGTGGCACATGCCTGTAATCTCAGTAACTTAGAGAGTTGAGGCAAGAGGACTGCAAGTTATAGGCCAGGGTCAGCAACTTAGCCATATTTGAAATACTATTCAAGATACATCTCCTTTTAGCCCTGAAGGTTAAATTCTTGCCAGATCCTAAGAAATGTGAACCTATAAGAATATTACTAGCCTCATAGTTTTAATCACTTCACCATATTATCAAGTGTATTCTAATCTCTAACTTTAAAATATTTTAGAAAATAATCTGTTCCAATGTTGAATAAACAAGTTAGTGATAATCAACATCTCTCAGTTCTAGATTTAATTTTCATGTTGTCATCCTAATCCCTTTATTTTCCTTTTGTTTGGATTTTTTGGTTTCTGTGACGTGGTAGAAGGAGAGCAAGTCGTATGAACAATCTTAAGTAAATTACATTCTATTTTTATAAGGCAACAGATTCATGTCTTTTAAAATAGATTTTATTAAATAACTACTTGGATAATAATTACAAAGGCTTTAAATAGAAATTCCAAGTAGTGAAAGACAATTTCCTTTAAAAAAAAAAAAAAAAAGACAAAATATCCAAATTGTTTTGCTGCTTTATACACAGGAATGATTTATTTTACACATTAGTCACAACATTTAGCCTGTAAAAATTAAAAACATTTCTTAATATGTCTCAAAGGCAGAATGAATTCCATAATGATGTTTTCACATTAACCAGTATGACAAAGCAGAAGAAATTTAAGACTATGATAACAATTCAAAATAAAATTTACAAAACAGGCACTTGGAAGTCAGCTACTGTGTAATTTTCACAGTTGATGTTATCTGTACACATTTCATCAAAGGTTATCAACCAGTGAAGCCAATGTTCCTTTGATGCAGACTCACAAACAGGTTTAGGTTCCAAACACTGTGTTCTGGTTGTGATACATGCAAGACAGACCCTAAATAAGAAAAGTCTTCTGAAAGAAAAAGAAGAAAAACAAAAAGCAGCCAGGAATGAAAGCATTTACAAGCATTTGAATAAGGCCTTTAAATATTAAGTCAGTGTTTTAAACCCCTTCATTCTCAGGTAAGGGATTAAGAGGCCGAGAGAGAGATCGTCTGCGAGGGTGAGGATACTGGAGGTTGGCAGTGTCAGCATCGCAAGAGGGCTCTAGCAGAGGAGGAGGAGGAGGAGGAGGAGGAAGGAGCTGGGCATAACTGGACCATCTCGATCCAGCCCGTGGGGAATCCAGAGGGGGAAAGAAATACCTGAAACAACGGAGACAGGAACAAAACACCAAAACAAAACAAAACAAAACAAAACAGGAAAAAAAAAAAAAAAAAAGAAAAGAAAAAACAAAACAGAAGAAAAAGAGAAAAGTAGTAAATACAAAGAGAACCAAAGAGGAGAAAACACATGCTGGAAAAAAAAGCTTTAGTATATTCATGCCAAACTAACAGAACATAATAGCACAAACCAAGACCCTTACTCAAATCAAGACTGCTTAAGCAATTATAGAAACTTGAAGGAAAGAAATACAATCTATTAAAATACCAAAGAAATTATCAGTATGAATGTTACAAAGACATTAATTTTATAAATTTAAAACGTTGTCTAACCTCTCAGAAATATGTCTGATGCCATTCTGTAAACTGGCAATTTAATGTGCTTTCTCGCTGAGAGCAGTGCTCCATCTGTAGCAGCAGCAGGCACACTTTTTTTAGTGCATACATGATACTGAAAACCAATTTGAATACACTTTCACATTGTATTTCTGGCTATTGCAACATACTTTTGAAGAAATACAATCATTAAATATACTTATTTTTCTGCAAAAACCTTAAAATAGCTACAGAATTTTGATATGTAAAAGGACTCAAAGAATTATTATGCCCTATTATCATTATTGCGCCACTGTATAACTTACCCGTAATACTTATGCATTTTAGCAAATGTAAAGATTTATAGCTATGTCATCAAGATCAGAGCCTTAGAGGACATGAACAAACTGAAACAGCAAACTAAAGGAAGTCCTGAGACATGGGATTTGTAAGTTAATTTGCATGCACACTTTTAGCAAAACTGTAACTGATTATATTTCCAAATTGTGTCTTGAAGGTAACTTTAAGCCATGAAATCACATCACAAAAATATACATGCACATATCAGAAACATTTAAGTCTTTAGTGAATATGAATTGGAAACATATAAAGCTGTTTCCATTTCCCACCAAATTATGAATGAAACAATACCAAACACTCCACTTGGCTACAAACTGTACAGTCAAATTACTTCCATCTTACTAATACTACTTTGCTAATTTCCTCATTTACTACTACTTTTTAAATATTACAAAGGAATGACAGTTGTATGAAATAATATCATTTATAAAACAATTCTACAAAAGGTAAACAAATTAGCACTCAAAACAATCTTTATGAAAAATATTTATTCAATCTTCGAATTAAAATTATAAAAATTCATCATGTTTAGCTTATTTAGAAAACAAAAGAAATATATCTATATTCTCCAAATGGAATAAAATGGTATCTTCCCTCCTCCCAACCAGTTATAAGGATTTAACAATCCTTTTAATTTTTAAATCCAACTGAGTTTCAGCAACATTTCAAAAAATTGTTTTGGTGACAATGTCTCAACAAAAAGCCTCTCCATTTAAATCTCAAGAGTTTCAAATAGTGTCAATAAACTGACTATACAAAAAAAAAATGATATCAACTGCATTTCTAAAGGCCTTTGGGGCTGCGTTTAGTAGTAAGCAGGCTGCTGGTGTGTCCTGGGAGAGGTCAAACGGCGCTGGGGAAGGGGGAAAGGAGCTGGCGTCCCATTCCTGTGTGCATGCAACAAGCAGCAAAACAGCAGAGTTACTCCAGTTAGCTTGTACTCAGCTGTGCTTTCTGTTAAAGGACATAATGCAAATGGAGAAGGGAAAATGCATCACAGATCTAACACAGATGGGTATTGGCACAATAAGAACACAGATCAAACACGTCAAAGCTATGTACGAAAGAAAACAGGCAGTACAGGCAGCCTCCTAAAGCCAGATTTAAAATATACACTCTAGAATTCTTTGCTTCATGTTCTCATCTTTATAATCTGCCATCTTATGTGGGAACCTAAAATTGTTTTAATAGATGTAAAACTAAAAATCTCAGAATCAAGTAGCAAGACTTTCTTTTTCCTGTTTTTTATTTGTTTGTTTTGTTGTTGTTTTGTTTTGTTTCCTTTTTCTTCTGCAGTGCTGGGGATCAAACCAGGGCCTCATACTGATGACTTCTTTATAAAAATATAACAGCATAATAATACTTGAAGAAACTTTAAATACACTTTTCTTCTTTTATTTAGGATCTAGGATGACAATAAGGGTAATGTGCAGAACCAAGCTACAGCACAATGACAGCACAAATCAGTTTGTGAAGACTTAGTTTTGACGTTTCCTAAACTCCATTTCAAATTATCCAAAAGGGTATATTTAAAATAACTTTCTTATAAAGTCACATATTTGAAATTTGAATATGAAAACAAAATGATTCTTAGGGTTACATCAAGTTTTCTTTTGTTCTAAAGGTTCTTTATTACGAGAAGCAAGAATCTAATAATATGCTAAATATTCTATAACTCAAGACCTGGGGTGTTATCATTTCCTCTTATAATCTACTTTAAAGTTTTAAACACAGGGCTGGGGATGTGGCTCAAGCGGTAGCGCGCTCGCCTGGCATGCGTGCGGCCCGGGTTCGATCCTCAGCACCACATACCAACAAAGATGTTGTGTCTGCCGAGAACTAAAAAATAAATATTAAAAATTCTCTCTCTCTCTCCTCTCTCACTCTCCCTTAAAAAAATTTAAAAAAAAAAAGTTTTAAACACAAAAGCCAAATCATTTAACTCACTCTCTTTTACAAAGCCTTAATGCATTTTATTCAAAATTTGTTTGACCTAATGCGAAAGCAGAAACTATATGCTCTAAGCACTAAAAAAACAGTGCTTATCCAGAACTAAAACCCTCACTATTAAACTATTTATTCTTCCTCTCACTGCTGCAGAGGCAAGGTAGAATATGAAAGCTGCAGACATTTCTCCTAACAGACCATTCAATTCAGAATATAGTTTAGTTTAATGGCCTCCCAACCTACCTATAAAAATTATGACCAAGTAAGCCAAATTCAGAGCTAACAACGTCAATTTTTAAATTCTAACAATAATAATTTGTACATTTTCTCATTCATCCTAAAATTCATAAAACAGCATGCCTTTAGTATGATGACCAGAATGATTTAAAAAAGAAGACAACTTCTGATTTTTCCCACAGAACAGCCTACCTGCTAGCAGAAGATCCATTTAATGAGTTTTGAAGACTTGGAATATTTGAACCTAGGGAAGGGTTTGAGTTTCCTTGCTGAGAACTCCCATTGACTGGGCTCCCATTACCTTTCAAGATGCCAGTGCACTTCCAGTTGTCCATATAATTAGCTAAAAGAAAAACGGTCAAAGACATCAACATGAGTGATACCTGTGCACAGTAGCATAAATCCAGATTCATGTCCTCAAAAGGTAATTAAAGAAATGAGACAGAAACTGTGGGCTACATTTCTTTCCAGGTAAGTATTAAAGACCTTTTGTTTTAGGTTCTGGGAATGGAACCCAGGGCCTCAAGCATGCCAAGCAAGTGCTCTACCACTGAGTTACACCCCAGCCCATTTTCTATTTTGTTTTATTTTTTTTTACCACATTATCATGTTATGAAGTTAATATCACAATAAAATCTCCATCTCTGCTATAACGAATCTGCATAAGGTAATGAAGATATCTTCTTGGTTATGTGGGGACCTGCTATCTTCACAGATGGATGTGAGCAGCAAAACCTTTGACTGTAGGTTGGACTGGCTTATCCAACATGGCCCTACAGTCAAAGAGCCCAGAAAATTCAAGTGAGGCTGCAGAGTCCTGACTAAGGCCCAGAGGAAAAATGACAGCACAGTTCTTTTAAAATCAAATGACACTGAGGAAAGGAAAATCTGGGCTATTTCTGCCACGGGAGGCCCAAGGTTTAGCCAGACTGCACTTCGAGAAACAATGGCCACTCAGTGTAGTGACACAATACGGCTATGCCAAATACAGCATGCTGCCCACCATTGTGGTGTACAAACCACAGACTTTCCTCCTGCTGGATAAACAATCGTGGAAAAGTGCAGAACCAAGCTACAGAGACAAGTCTTGTCAACCACCCAGACCTAGCTCCCTCTCAGAATGCTACATGTAAGAAACTAAGAATCAAAGCCCCAGGACTAGGGTTGTAGCTCAGTGGTAGAGTGCTTGCCTAGCATGAGTGTTAGGCACTGGGTTGGATTCTCAGCACTACATATAAATAAATAAAAGTCCATTGACAACTAAAAAAATAATAATAATAATAATAATCAGAGTCCCAAGAAGTCCCAAGAAAGGAGGTGGAGAGGACACTAGATTTAAGGACTGGTTGTCTAATGTAATTATGTAGTAAGAGATGACTTCAGTCCTATCCCAAGTTTGTAGAAGAGCCACACAAGTTACATATGTAGTAAATGGTATCTGTTTATTGATGATACTACATACTGTTACCATTATTTTTAAAAGTTGCCATGTTATATAAAGAAAAAATTCCATCAGTCATTAAGTACTGTGAACTAAGTAATAAGATACTGATTTTAAAGTTGCTATAAAAGGTAATTCTTTTCAAAATATTTCAGAATTTACATTCCTCAATGAAAATTCTAAAAGCAAAATATAAAGCAATAATTACCCCTCCATGGAACTCTTCCTACCTTTCCACAGTCTTACACAGCCATCATCTCCTGAAGAGGCCAGCACTGTTCCAGTTATATTCCAACTCACTCGCCAGACCTGAGAATTATGATTATCAAACTGAGCCACTATATGGATTTCAAATTTTGTTGGCCCACCAGAGGAAGTAAGTTCTTTCCTGTTAATTAGGGGAAAAAAATTTTTTCTGAGGAATTCTGAAGGAAATTTTTAAATTTAATGATAAATTATATGTACTGTCCTAAATAAGAAAGACAAGTGATCTCATGTACTTTATTTACCACATAATTTTATAGTAATTTGCCTATCTGTATACTCCCCTACCCCAAGCCCTTGAGCTGGTCAAGTGTGGCCATCTTTTTTTTGGTACTTGGATTGAATCCATGACACTTTATTACTGAGCCACAGCCCGAAGCCCTTGTTATTTCCTGTTTTGAGAAAGGGACTAAGATGCTTGGGGCCTCACTAAGTTACTAAGGCTAGCAGCAAACTTTCAATCATCTTGCCTCAGTCTCCCAATTACTGGAATTATACACCACACTCACTGCACCAGGCTGCTAGTGCCATTTTCATTTGATTCCCTCACAGGACCCAGAGTGATCCTAGCCCATAAATGATACTCAGAGACAAATAAGGATATTATTACCCCAAATAAGGCTGAGGAATCAAATATGCTTGATAATAATTAGCTGAAAAAGGAAGAAAAGCAAGAAGGGAAGAATGAAAAGAAAAAGAACTAAAACTCACATTTCAAAATTAAAACTAGCGAGATTATTTGCAAAATGTCTCAATCTCAATGCTAATTTAGTTTTTCCTAAGTAGATGGCCATTTCTCATCTTTGGAACATTTTGTAGGGTACCAATTATATTTAGAGTACCAATTCATTGTACCAATTCATTGTTAGTATTAGCCTAAATAAAACAGTTAAGAGAATGTAAGTCTCCTCTCTTTACTCAATTCCCCATCCCAAAGAGTGACATAGTTACATATACAATGTTCATTAAAGAACCATTCTTCAGATCATAGTTACCAATTCTCTCTTCCAAAGACAATTAGGGGGCAAGAGTATTTTCAAATGCATAATTGTTTCTAAAACTCACCTCACAGGCTTTAATGTAAAAATTCTGACATCTTTGGTTGCTATTGCTAGAATATGAAAAGATCTTCCCAAGTTTGGAGCAAACGCAATATCATGTACAGGATCAGTGACTGTCATGAGAGTTTCGGCTTTTGCATATTTCCTAATGAAAAAAACAATTTACATTAAAATTTCTGAAAATAAAATTTGCAAAACTCCACCTCAAAGTACCTCAATTTTTTTCATTCTGCTCATAATCAAGGCATGTTCACCTCTGCAGTGGGCTGAATAGTGGTCCCCAAAAAGGGACCAAATCCTAACCCCCCAAACCAGTGAACTGGCCTTATTCGGAAAAAGGGTCTGTGTCTAAAGATCTCAGGATGAGTTCATCCTGAATTTAAGGTGGACCCTGAATCCAGTATTTACTGTCYTTTCCTAAGAGAAGAAACAGAGATGCAAAGAAGGCTCTAGTGAACAGAGGCAGAAACTGGAGTTACACCACCACAAGCCAAGAACTCATGGAGCCGCAAGAAATGCCAAGGAGAACAGATTTCAGGCAACATATAGCCCTGCCAATGGCTTGATTTCAGATGTCTGGCCTCCAAAACTATAAGCAAATAATTCTGCTGGGCTGTTACTCAGTTTGGGGTAATTTGCTATGGCAGCCCCAGGAAACCAATGTAACCTCCCAGGTTTACTCCTTTGATAATTTAACTTAAAACAGTTTAATAAAAATTTAACTAAAATTAAGTCTTGATTTAGGAACCATTGATATAGTTTTTAAGAAACAGGCCAGAAATTAGCTACATGCGTGAGTGTAAATTAAAAAAAAATAATAATAAAGCTGGGAGCAATGGGAATTTTTCACAAGGTGACTAAAGGAAACTGCCCAAGTCTAGTTCACTCTTACAAATCTATTTATCTACAGATAAAGGAGAACAGTGAGGAGCTGGCAGGTCAGTTTTCTATATACCCTCCGAAACAGCAGTGCTTCCCTGCCTTCTATACTTAAACCTTCTCACCCTGACACCTTTCAGAATACCTACCAAGCTAAAAAAACTCTAGTTCCTCTCTTTGAGCTCCTCTTTTTATAGACACAATCCCCTAAGCAGTCTCCACCATATGCTTGCCTCTACTGTGTGAGCCAATCATCAGCTGGCAGCTGGAAGTTTGCTGGCAGCTGGAAGTTTGCTGGGGCCCCTTCGGCTGTGGCTCTCAACAATCACCTAAGCAGTCTCCACCATATGCTTGCCTCTACTGTGTGGTCCGCAGCTGCCTGGAAGCTTCTGAGAGATGTACACTCAGCACCACCACAACCCAAGCAATCAAGAACATGCATTTTAACAATATCCACAGATGACCTACCTACCTGGACAGCAAAGTTTCTATGCTCATAGCTTCACTACCCATATACCAATCAATTCCCATATACACATATATGTGAATGAACATATGTGTGTACACGTTTTCATATTCAAATTTACACACACACACACACACACACACACACACACACGTGCATCTCACCTCCAATCCAGTCCCTTCTCCCAAAGACCAGATAAGAGGGAAGGATAGCACTAAAGAGCACACACATTAAGTCAGAGTGCCCATGTCCAAATCCCAGCCTGTTCAATCATGGCTATACTGTGACCTTTAGTAAGAAGTCCTAAGGTAGGAGTGACACCAGCTTTGTGGCAGATTCTAAAGAGCCCAGGACCCCACTTTCAGGTGGTCTGGCTTTTGGAGCCTCCTCCTGACAAGTGCAGGCAAAACCAGCCCATGACTTGTGTTTAACCAAGGGAAGGAATGTGGAAAATTAACAGGATTACACTTGTGTGATCACATACACAAGCTAACAGTGCCCATCTTGTGAGAAGACTCCCCTTGCCACCTTGAAGAAGCATCTGCCATGCTGTGAGCTACCCCAGAAATGGTCCATGAGGGAGAAACAGTGACACTTTCAACAGCAAGTGAGCTCCCAAGTGTAGCCTCCCTGAACTGGGCCAAAGCAACCATGAGCTCATAAACACTACTAAGAGTGTGAAATTGCTGTGTAGCAACAGGTAACTATCTTAGCTTTCATGCCCATTTGTTCTTTAGATACTCCCACCTGGATGTCCCAAAGACACCTCAAACTAAGTACTTCCGAAGTGAATGGCCTCTCCCCTCATGTTGCATCCCATAGGCCCATCTCAGCAGGTGGCACTACTATCAGCCACATCAGAAGAACTCATTGGAGCTCAAAGGGACTCAGTAGTATCACTACACATCTTGGATGGGTCTCCTTAGGCCCTCCTCTCCACCACTGCCTTAGTACACACTCTCATGCTTTAACACAATGGAGCTATTTCATTAATTCCTCAATTTCCCTGGCTCCTGGTCTCTCTTCTAAACAGCTCCCAAGATCATCTTCCTAAAAGGTAAATATGTGTGACTCTTCAGGACCCTTCAGAACTGAAAGGAAAGAGGCCAAGCTTGCCCTGGCCTGTGGGCATGCCTCTTCAACCCCAAACTTGCAGTATAATCTCTCACCATGTTGTGCCATGCTCCTGATCTTTGCTCCTACTTCCCTTCCTTCTCTGTCTGCAGATCACCTTCCATCTTTCAAAACTGAGGCTTCAACATCAATTCCTCCCACTTTACCTCTCTCAGGCTCACAAGACCTTCTTTTCTGCTCTCCCTGGCACATGCTTCAACCATCACAGCATCTTCAGCACTACACTATGTTCATCTGTATGCTAAAGGCTCTGAGCGCCACACATACAGAACTGTACTGTATTTTCTTTGGCTTAGTACAGTCCCTGGTACTTGTAAAATGTTCTTGCAAAAATCTGACTTTTGATGATTCTGTTGTTGTTTAATAGACCTGAAATAAGCTATACTTCATTAATGGTAATCTAATATTTTTCCTATCTAAAGAAACCAAATGAGGGACTGAGATTGTGGCTCAGCAGTAGAACACTTGCCTAGCACAGGCGGGACCCGGGTTTGATCCTCAGCACCACATAAAAATAAAGACATTGTGTTGTGTCTACTCCTAAAAAATAAATGTTAATTAAAAAAGAAAGAAAAAAAGAAAGAAACCAAATGAGTCTCAGTGGGAGTGAACAAAGTAATGAACAAAAAAAGACCTTGTTTCTGGTCTGACTCCCTATAAACTAGTTGTTTTACACTGTTGTTCTCTGTTTCTTCATTTGCAAAACAGTGCTAATAGAAAAGATGCCAACACTACTCATAGTATTCAAATTTCATTATGCACATTAAAGTATCCTGATCCTTTCCCCTTCTCCCTGACTACATTCAATCAGCCACCTGATCCTCTTGATACCACTAATCTCACAYAGGCCATTTCTTTCTGTCCCAGGGCCACTACTGTACTACAAAGCCACTATAAATCCCCGCCCTGGACTACTGAATCCATTCCTATTGCCCTCACCTATGCAGAGGTACACCACACTCCGATGCTGATACTCCCATTTACATGACCACAAGATTCTGGAAACCTAGACAGCAGGTCCTGAAGACCTGTGTCCTGCCTCCTCCTCCTTACCACCTCTCCCTTGTGCCTTTTGTGATATGTTGGCTCATATGTTGGTTCCTGGGCCTTCCTACCTGCACTCTTCTCCACATGGAGGGATTCTGCCCTTCTTTATGTTTTTTTTTTTTTTTTAAGAGAGAGGGAGAGAGAGAGAGAGAGAGAATTTTTTTTTAATATTTATTTTTTTAGTTATCGGCAGACACAACATCTTTGTTTGTATGTGGTGCTGAGGATCGAACCTGGGCCGCACGCATGCCAGGCGAGCGCACTACCGCTTGAGCCACATCCCCAACCTGGGATTCTGCCCTTCTTGTCTGACAGACTATACTCAGCCTGCAGATGACCCTTCCTGGCCCCCAAACTGGATTAGGGCTCCCCAGGTATAAACTGCTCAAATTCTAATTCTCTTAGGCCATAAAATTCGCCCTCTTTCTCAGTATTATTTCTGTTTTCCCTGCAAGATGCTAAATACTAAGAGAACAATTACCTTCCCCTCATGAACCCCAGATCATCAAATCCTGGACAGAAGTTGGCCTAATTCAGTTAATGAATAAAGGAAACATACTCTTAAATATTAAAGGCAACTCTGAACAGTAATTAACATCAAAGCAGTACTGACCTGGTGTTTTCGTTGTACTCAAAAATCTGAACCTTGGCCATTGCATTTGGACTACTGTCATCGCTGCCTACAGCAACCATTGGGGAATGAGCACGGGAGCTGAAATGAAGAGTAAAAACACTTCACATCATCATCAGGACAGTGGATTCAAGAATCACAAACTCAAGACCAGCTGAGCATCTGCACCTCAGTCTGGCCCTACTGACTTCCAGCTCCCTGCCACTCACCTCACAGCCACATCTTGCAATATGTGTGTTTAAAGATGTCACACAGGGGACTGATGGGTCAAGCTGTACTGAATTATTTCTAAAAACACATTTTCTATGGCTTAGAAAGGAGCTTTTTTCCCCAAAAGAGAAAGTTTCAAACATTCAACAGATTAAAAAAGATACCTGAGATGCCTCAGCAGTCTGTCCTCCTGCAGACATGCAATGAAGAGGTACCTACTGTGGTGAACCTGACAACACAAAGTTCCAAATGCTTTGTACAAAAGGAAGAAACTCAGGCAGAAGGAGGAAGAGTAGGAAAGACTACCTCCTGGAAATCATGCTCCCATATCAGGCTCCCCTCAAAATTTGTGTGTAGGCAACTTCATTTTAAAAAAAGCAGATGATGAGTAATCAGAATGGCTCTACTAAAGTGAACTATAAACACTCTTCATTTTTATACCAAATTATAGTAAGGTATCAATTTCTTTTGCCTCCCTCAACCAAATTAAACAATATCTCAGTAATACTCTTGCTTAACCTCTAGCCTCACTATTGTGATTGTTAACCTCTTCAAGCCAAAAGCAAAATGTGGTCATTAGGGAAAAAAAAAAAAACACAGTTCTTCATTACTAAAGCTTCAGGTAATTAGATCAAGTCTTCTAATGTAAGAAAATTAACACTATACTACAAAGTGTTATGGTAGGAATTTAGAGTATTCCTGAGAACCTAACATGAGATTATTTTGCATAAGCAACAAAGTTTTCAAGAAACAGATTATTACATCTGCATCTATACTGAATATATTACATTTGCATCTACAATGAATATTTACATAACCTAACGAAGAAAATCTAGCTACTACTTAATTTTTAGAATCAACTAGTAGTCCAAGAAAAAAATGATCATACATATATTAAATGTTTACATAATATGTTAAAATATCATAAATCTTGTCAGTTATAAATAATATAATAAATACTAGAAAATAAAGGATCATGTGAGGTAGAAGCAAAATAAACTAACTTCTTTTTTAAGAAAAAAACCAATAATGTATATCTAAAAAGAACAAATAATCTGGGCATGGTAGCACACGCCTGTAATCTCAACGGCTCAGGAGGCTAAGCTGAGACAGGAGGAGGATCAGGAGTTCAAAGCCAGTCTCAGCAATGGCCAGGCACTAATCAACTCAGTGAGGCCCTGTCTCTAAATAAAATACAAAATAGGGTTGGGGATATGGCTCAGTAGTTGAGTGTCCCTGAGTTCAATCCCTGGTACCAAAAAAAAAAAAGAACAAATTTTTAAAAAGTGAAAACAATATATAACCTAAAAACTCATGTATCAGTAAGGAAAGATACAAATTTGAGATAATAATTACCAATATAACTAAAACAACTACCAACATTACCACAAACAAAACATCTAATATTTACTAGTCTTATCGTGGGAGGTGGAAGGTTTTATGAAGGTGCTACATTCATCTTTCACAAGTGAGCATGAATACTGTCGCAAGACTACAGAGCAGGAGACTGGGTAGAAGTAAATCATTTATAATGTAATATGACCACCAAGATTAAAGTCTAAAAACATAACTTCAACAATTTATTTTTAGAGGCCAAAGGAACTTTTGTACTCCTCTACATTACTTAAAAATTTTTTTACCAAGTGATTCTTACAATTTTTTAAAAGGTTACACACTACATAGCAGTTAAAAAGAAATGATATAAAAGAGCTTAATATACTTGTAGATGGGAAAATGCCCATGATGTACTTATCGTGTTGTGTGCCTACTACATCAGCGCATCTGGATGCATCTGCACATCTGTGTGTTTATCAATACACCAAATATTTATTTGTATATACTCAGAAAATGCCCAGAAAGTTCAGAATATTTACAATGGCTAGCATCCTCTGTGGGGTAAAAACACAGGGATGAAAGACATGGCAGGGAAGAAAAGGGAAAATTTTAATTCAAGATCACATAGTTAAAAAAAGCATTTTTGAAAAAAATAAATCATCAAATCATTAGCTTAAAAATTATTAGCCTGGGCTGAGGCTGTGGCTCACTGGTAGAGCACGTTCCCAGCACATGTGAGCTGGGTTCACTCCTCAGAACCACATAAAAATAAAGAAATATAAATAAGTAAAAAGGTATTGTATCCATCTACAACTAAAAAATATTTTTAAAAAATTACTATCCTGTTTTACTAGGATTATATTATCAGAGGTTTGATGGAGAAGCTTACCTTGAAGGGTTCCAAGAAATACAACTACAGCTTAGCTTACATGAGATCTCATGCTGCAGTGACCACTGGCTGAGATTCATAACGTCTGGTGCCTCGTATATTCTTACTATACCATCTGCTGAACAGGTCGCTAGCATAAGACCCATATGTTTAGGAGCAAACTTCACATCAGTAACCGATGTTCTGCTGTCCACTAGAGTTGTCCTCTTCACCTGAAAAACAGTAATTATCAACCTAAATTATACACAAAAATAAAACATGGTACAGTGGAAAGAACATAGGCTTTAGAATCACATACGAAGTCCTTTGCAATTTACTAGCAATATAAACTTGAATAAGTTAGTAAAAGCTACCTGGGCCTCAATTTCCTACAAAGCACTTTGCAAAATACAACACACAAAAATCACTAACAAATTAATTACTACCGGGCTGGGGATGTGGCTCAAGCGGTAGCGCGCTCGCCTGGCATGCGTGCGGCCCGAGTTCGATCCTCAGCACCACATACCAACAAAGATGTTGTGTCCGCCGAGAACTAAAAAAAATAAATATTAAAAAAATTCTCTAAAAAAAAAAAAAAAAAAACAAACAAATTAATTACTACCTTTAAGGCAAAAGAAAGTCTGCCTTAGAAAGCCTAACTTAGAAAAAGCCTAACTTAGAAAGCCTAACTTAGAAAGCCAAGGACACTAATGTATGCCTGTCATCCCAGCTATTCTAGAGGCTGAGGCAGGAGGATCACAAGTCAGAGGAAGAGCAGCCTGAGCAACTTAGCAAGATCAATTTTAAATAAAACTTAAATGAGGGACGTAGTTCAACACCAGAGCACTTGCTTAGCACGTACCACACTCTGGGTTAACTGACCCAGTGCCACAAAAAGACAAAAAAATGCCTAACTTTATTATGTAAGCAATCTCTCTTAAGCACATTGTTCGACAAAACTAGAAACTGTTAGAATTTACTATAGGTCACTTTGTCATACAAAGCATGCTGCAAACAGTAATTAAATGAATTAAGATCCTTAAACTATAGTAAATAGAAGGTTACAACGTCTCTCAAGCATAAAGGACAGGTAACCCCACTGGACCAACCTCATCTACTTTTAAGTGAAAGTATTTAAAAAACTAAGAAAATGAAGATGACATCATGATAATTACAGAATTCCAACATCACATTTTAAAAGCTATATTCTGGAACCTAGATTACACAATATTTGCCCAAAACCATCAATAAAATTTAGAAAACAGTTTATTGTCTGTGATTATCAAAATACTTCTTAAAGACTCCCAATACTAAAAATTTCTAAAAAACAGTATCACATAGAAATCAAAGATAACCTCTTAGCAAATTCTTGTCTACATATTACTAAATAATTCATATCGAGACAAATAAAAAAAACTAAGTATACTAATTATAGTTACTTTAAATACAAATAAATACTCTGAAATTAAAAGAAAAATCCTTCATATGCTAAAACTCCTAAAATTCCTTCTCTCCTCCTCAGTAGGCAGTCATTTGCCTTAGGAAGGCCCTAGTGCAAAAGCAATCAGAACAACCCCTGTCCCTATAGGAACAGTTGTACAAAGAATATTGTTCAAGCAACAAAGTGACAGTAATTAAAATAGAGTGGTAAGAGCATAAGGAGACATACAAACCAAGAAAACAAAATATAGTTCAAAAACAAATCGTCCTTATAGGGTCAACTGATTTTACAAGAAGACTGCCAAGACAATGTAAAAAGAAGAAAGGCCAGTCTGTTCAAAAAATGGTGTTGGGGAAACTGAATATTCACATCCAAAAGAATGAATGTGGACCCTATCTTATACCGTGTTCAAAAATTAACTCAGCTGAGTGTGGTGGTGTACATGTATAGTTCCAACTACGCAGGAGGCTGAGGCAGTAGACTGCTTGAGCACAAAAATTAAGAGAACAGCTTCAGCAATAGTAAAACCCTGCCTCAAAAATAATTAACACAAAATGGATCAAAGACCTAAATATAGTTCTAGAACTATAAAACTGTTAAAACAAATTATTGGGGAAAGTCTTCATGACAATGATTTCTTGCATCTAACAAAAAAGCACAGGAAACAGAAGAAAAATAAATTCGATTTCAACAAAATTTTTAAATTTTGTGCATCAAAGAATACTTCAAGAGTGAAAAAGCTAGCCGGGCGCAGTGGTACATGCCTGGAATCCCAGCAGCTCCAGAGGCTGAGACAGGAGGATTGTGAGTTCAAAGCCAGCCTTAGCAACAACGACATGCTAAGCAACTCAGTGAGACCCTGTCTCTAATAAAATACAAAATAGGGCTGAGGATGTGGCTCAATGGTTGAGGCCCCTGATCTTAATCCCTGGTTTAAAAAAAAAAAAAGACAGTGAAAAAGCAACCCACAAATGAAGAAAAATATTTACATATCATATATCTGATAAGGGATTAATACCTAAAATATATAAATAACTACAACTCAGTAACAACAAAACGCATTATTCAATTAAAAAATGGCAAAGGATTTGACAAATATTTCCCTCTGTAAGATATACAATTAGCCAACAAGTACATGAAAAGATTATCAACATCATTAATCAATAGGAAAATGAAAAAAATAAAAACATAATTAGATACCACTTCATATTCTCTAAGACAGCTCCAACACTTATTTTCTATTTTTTTGTTGTTATTGTTCAACTCTCTAACAGACTGAGGAACTTATTAAGCAGCCCACAGATTATGTTCTTGTCCAAAATCAATTGTCCAATCAAGGCAGAGTTAGAATTTAATTGATRCACATAAAAGAAGAGTATATTTTGTAGAGCGAAAACAACCACAAAAGAGAGAGGACCTCGGGGTGTGGCTTAGTGGTAAAGCACACGCTTATCACAAGTAAGGACCTAGATTCAATCCCCAGCATCAAACACACAACAACACACACACCACACGTAACCACAAAATAGAAAAAAACAAATTTTCAAAGATTTTAGAGTGTGGGAAAAGTTATATACTAATTACCATATGAAGTGCAAAATCAAACATAAATCAAGTACTCTGTCTGGCTTCATCATCATAATATAATTAATGCCAAAAGTGCTCCTAAGTATCATTTCAGGCCTAAGACAAAATTAAATAAACAAGTAGGAGAAAAACACAGAAGAAAAGACAGTGGAACTGGTAAATATAGAGGAAGGGGTGGGGTTTTATCAAGTACCCAAGATATTCTTAAAAGGTGGTCTCGTATGTCCCCACCCCAGGAACACCACCAGGAGTCTTACCCAGTGACTCTGTCCTCGCAGTTTGTCATTGGATTCTCCTACTATTTCTTCCCATACAGCAGCTGTTCGGTCAAAAGAACAGGAAGCCAAAACCTGTCCAAATTCAGGATGGGCCCATGTCACACGCCACACCGATCCACTATGTGTCTGGGGTATTAAAAAAAAAAAAAAAAAAAAAAAAACATAGTTAATTCATATTTCATACAAAGTTTGACAAGGCTTTACTTGAGAAAACAATAGATATTTTTACTTTAGTAAGTAGAAAAAGCTAGTTTATTTAATATTTTAATAAAAAGTTAAGTTCTATAATTTTTTAACCTTTAGAAGATATTCCCTACTTGGAACAGTGGCCCCTAAAGTTGTTTTCCTAATATTTTACTAATAAAGACAAACCCAACTGGACAAAGTTCACTGTTTCCTGTGTCCATAGCAGCAGTCTTGCTTCAGAGGTTGGCTTTATGAAGCTTAGAAACAGATTCTACCAGTCCACAATTTTTTATTTGCCAATTCTTTCTACAGGACACATCAGCCTAATAAATAAAATGGGATTAACCAAAATTATCTGCTACACAATCCATAGAAACAGAAAGTAGATCAGCAGTTACCAAGGGCTGGGAAAGGGCAGAATAGGAAGTGGCTACTACACAGGGTTTCTTGAGATGATGAAGATGGACTGGAATTATCAAGTGGTGATAGGTGCAGAATTCTGACTATCTCTAAATTTACACTTGACACAGGGTTTTTTCCTTCTTCTTTGTGGTAATGAGGATAGAACCCAAAGCCTATTTCATGCTAGCCAAGTGCTCTGCCACTAAGCTATACCCTCAGCCTCCCGGAATTGTATACTTTTTAAATGGGTGAATATTATGGCATACAGATTATAACAATAAAGAAAACCACTATTCTGGTTTAAAAAGAATTATTTGAGGCTGGCTGTGTAGCTTAGTGGTAAAGTGCTTGCCTAGCATGTGCGAAAGAAAGGACCTCTGGTGTGACTTAGAAAAGCCAGGTTCAATCCCCAGTACAATAATAATAATAGCAATGATAATAAACTTGATTCAAAAGCCTAACAGTATATAAAGACTGTAACAACAAAATGTTTAAATGATTCTAACTGATATCTGGTTAAATATGAGAAATCAAAATCCTTGGACCCTGAGAAAATACAGATGTTCATCAACCTACAGTGGTTCAAACTGATACTTCAAACTGTGAGGTTTGATCTTTTCCCGAAAAAACAACACATAACATCAGCCTCTTAAGACAATACAGTTACCGGTCAGCCACACCATCCAGAAAGGAGATAACAGTTTACAGGGCTCTCGCAGCCAAGCGAGGATGTCAGGTAGGCTGGGTCTATTCATGCACTTTCTACAGTCAGTAGCAGAAGAACAGCTACATGGTAACAGCAATTGTACACTCTGCACCCTTCTCATCCAGCTTGCTCTAGTCCTTTATGCTTCACCTTCAATTGTCATTTAGAGTTATTATGGAAAAAATGCACTAACACAGAGGATTTTATTAAATGTTAGGTTCCTAATAAACACATCTAACTAAAGAATAAAGTGTGTACAAAAATATTCACAATAAAAAAAAAATTCATCAGTTAAGCAAAACAGGTAATATTTATTATTTATACAGCCTTTAAAAACATAGGGAAGTATTTTTAAAATATATTGTTAGACTAAAATCCCAGAGACTCAGGAGGTAAGGCAGGAGAATGACAAATTCAAGATCAGTCTGGACAACTTAGTAAGACCCTGTCTCAAAATAAAATAAGAGAAGGTCTGAGGATGTACCTTGGTGGTAGAGCACTTGCCTAGCATGCTCAAGCCCGTGGGTTCAATCCCCAGCACCACAAGTGTGTGTGTGTCTCCAATGAGATAGCACTTCATGCCCACTAAAAAAGCTAATAATAAAAGAGAAGATGGGTACTGTAGTAATCTCAGATTACTGGGAGGCTGAGGCAGAAGGACTGACTGTAATCTCAGATACTGGGAGGCTGAGGCAGAAGGACTGACAATTTGAGGCCAGCCTAAGGCAATTTAATGAGACCCCATTCCCCCCAAAACAAGTAATAATAATAATAATAATAACAACAACAACAACAATAGTAATATCAACTGTAGGAAACAATGTAGAAACTATAACCCTCATATATCATTTGTGGGAATATAAAATGACACAGTCACTTTGGAAGATTTGGCAGCTAAAGTTAAACATATACAGCCTAGCATCTGCTCAAGAGAAATAAACCCTAAACATCTACTCAGGAGAAATGAAAACATATATCCACACAAAGGCCTGCATGGCACATTCTTAAGAACACTATGGTAGTCTGGATCTCAAACATCCCCAAAAGCCCATGTGCTGGAAGCCTGTTCCCTCAGAGGTGCTACTAGGAAGCAGTGGAACTTTAAGAGGTGAGGCCTGGTGTGTGGCCCTTCTGTCACTGAAGGTGTGCCCTGGAGGACAACCTCTTCTCTCTCAATTTGCTCCCTGGCCACAAGATGGGTGGCTGTGCTCCAATACATTTCCGTGCCATGATCTACTGCCTCACCACAGGCCCCAAAACAATGGACCAACCAACCCTGAGAGCCAGTTACTTTTCTCTCTTTTTTGTTCTAACTAGTTATACCTGACAGGAGAATGCATTTTGACACATTGTACACAAATGGAACATAACTTCTCATTCCTCTGGCTGTACACAATTGTCACACCAGTTATGCAATTTTTCTTTTATTATTACCTTAGGTGTTTTGTTATGTGTTGTGTTGAATAAACATAAATTATTCATGACAGACAAAAACTAAAAACAATTCAAATGTTCATCAGCTGATCATTAGATAAACAAAATGTAGCATATTTACACCATCGACTACTCAGCTTTAAAAGGAACCAATTACTGACACTACATAATGCAGATGAACCTCAACATGCTAAGGGAAAGCAGTTACCCACCAAGAACTAAATATTTAAAGATTCCATGTACACGAAATTTCTAGGAAAGATGAAACTGTAGATCAGCAGTTGCTGGGAGTCTGGAATGGGACTAGGGACTAACTGTAAATGGGCAAACGGAAATTTCTAAGCTAATGAAGTATCCTAAAGCTGGACTGTGATGATGGCTGCACATTCATTTAAATTTACTAAATCTCACTGAATGTACATTTAAAATTGATGACCCTTTAAGTTATGAAAAACTCTTGAGTAAAAGTGTTTTCATTTTTTTTAAAGAGAGAGAGAGAGAGAGAGAGACAGAGAGAGAAAGAGAGTGAATTTTTTTTTTTTTTTTTTAGTTCTCGGCAGACACAATATCTTTGTTTGTATGTGGTGCTGAAGATCAAACCCAGGCCGCACGCATGCCAGGCAAGCATGCTATCGCTTGAGCCACATCCCCAGCCCCAAAGGTGTTTTCATTTTTATTATTATTATTTTTTTTAACCGTACTGGAGATTGCACTTGGGACCTCAAGCATGCTAGGCAAGTCCTCTACCACTGAGCTAAACCTCCAGCCCTTTTTTAATTTTTGAGATAGGGTCTTGCTATGTTACCCAGGCTGGCCTCAAACTTGCAATCCTACTGCTCGGCCTCCCAAGCAGCTGAGATTACAGAGATATTCCACCATCTCCAGCTAAAGGTGCTTTAATTGAAAAATAAATTTAAAAAAAAATCAAGAAATAAAACTAAGCCAGGTACAATAGCTCACAACTGTAATCTCAGTGACTCAGAGGCAGAAGGATCTCAAGTTCAAGGCCAGCCTCAGAAATTTAGCAAGACCCTAGCTATTTAGCAAGACCTCAGCTATTTAGCAAGACCCCGTCTCAAAATAAAAAATAAAAAGAGCTGGGGACATACCTCAGTGGTAAAGCATCCCTGGGTTTAATTCTCAGTACCAAAATAAATAAATAAATAAATAACTACATATAAAACATCACAACTATTAAAAATATGTCAGGGGCTGGGGTTGTAGGCTCAGAGGTAGACTTCTGGCCTAGCACATGTGAGGCACTGGGTTGGATCCTCAGTACTACATAAAACCAAATAAATATTGGGCTGGAGTTGTGGCTTAGTGGTAGAGTGCTCACCTAACACATGTGAGGACCTGGGTTCGATCCTCAGCACCACATAAAAATAAGTTAATAAAATATATTGTGCCCAACTACAACTAAAAAATAAATCTTTAAAAAAGTAAATAAATAAAATAAAGGTGTTATATCCATATACAACTAAAATATTTTTAAGAAAATATATGTCAGAGAGAAAGATAAAGAAATATGCTGAAATGCTAATACTACACATGTAGAATGAAACAGAATTACAGATTTTCTTATTCCTAAATTCTCTGAGGGCTGGGATTTTAACTCAGTGGTAGAGCCCTTGCCTAGCACGTGTAAGGCACTGGGTTCGATCCTCACTACCACATAAAAATAAAATAAAGATATTGTGTCCATCTATAACTTAAAAAAAAATTTCTCCAAAACATATTTCTAGTTTCTACCGGAGCTACTCAGAGCCCGCATTTTTAAAATGCCCACCTGTAAATGCTAACCAAAAATATCTTTTTCAGTCAGAATTTCATTCCACAGGTTTCTACATTGCAGCCCTAAATTTAAGTTATTTTTTGAGTTGAATAATCTGACTTTTCTCTATAGAGTTGTGTCACTAGATAATGTTCTATTAATGAGAGATATCAAACATGCTTCGTTTGTATTTGACTTTTAATTCTAGAGGTTATGGGGATGCACTTGCTCGCCACAGGAACAAAAGCCAGCAATGTTCCTGTGATGAACAAAAAATCCTTACTCTCATTCCTGACTATGTAATTACAAAAAATAAATATGTATGCAAAACATATTTATATTACTTTAATAGTAAAAAATGAATAAAATATATTTCCAGGAAAAGAACTATGCATAAATTTTATAATTTTCCCAAAGTTGAACAGCAACTCATTGAATATTTCTTTTTCTTTTTTTTCTTTTTTTTTTTTTTTTTTTTTTTTTTTTTTTTTTTTTTTTTTTTTTTTTTTGGTACTAGGGATTGGACCCAGGGGCACTTAACCACTGAGCCATATTCCCAGCAATTTTCTGTTTTGGGGTGGGGGTTGCCAGAGACTGAACTCAGGGGCACTTGACCCTGAGCCACATCCTCAGCCTTATTTTGTATTTTATTTAGAGACAGGGTCTCACTCACTTGGGGCCTCACTAAGTTGCTGAGGCTGGCCTTGAACTTGAGATCCTTCTGCTTCATAATCCTCCTGCTTACCTCCCAAGCTGCTGGGATTACAGGTGTACACTACCACGCTCAGCTATTTCATTTTTTTAATTGCTATATTTTCACAGTAATTAAATACTTACCTTCCAGCTAGCAGTACAATGCCAATCTCCACTTTCACTTTTATCCCAGACCTATGAAAAACAAAAGGCAGATATTTTATGCAAAGAATTTCCACAAATAAGCTATATGACTGAATCAGTGTCTAGGCAAAGAGGGGAAAATAAACTTCACAAAAGAATAAAACCAGTAAGGAAATGTTCCTTCAATCAACTATTGATTGATTAAGAACCTTGAATGTGTCAGGCACTGGGCCAAGCAAGACTGAGGGATCCAGGAACCCAAGCTCTAACAGGTAACAGAAACAATTACCATTACAGTCAATTTTCTTTTTTTTTCCTTTTTGTTGATGTGCCAAAGATTGAACCCAGAGCCTTATGCACTCTAGGCCAGCACTCTGCCACTATGCTACACCCTGGGCCCTCTGTTCTCATTACAAACTGTAGTTATATTCTGTAAAGTTGCCTTGACTTCTGCATCACTGCTCCTAAGGGAAATGCAGGGTCAGGCTTCTGCTTGCCTCTAGTCTAACATTTTCATCAACTAATCAAAACACATTGTTGATTCATCACATTGCTCTTGCAGGCAAAAACACTGCAATGTGGGCCTGAGGGAGGCTTTTCTTGGTAAGGTTTGTCACAGCCTGCCTGCGCTTAGGAACAGCAAGCAGCACTTCAACACTACACCATTTCAGGCTATAAGATCACTAATAAAGAACAAGACACACAAAAATCATGGCACTAAAGGAACATACTAAGAATTTGTTCACAGTGTGAGTCAAAACACAAACAAAGTGTCTGTCACCTTGTTCTACCTCAGCTGAAACAGTATGTCTAGAAATTTAAACATTTTACCATTCTCCAAGTCTGTAAATGACTGGAAAAGCACAAGTGGGTACAAATAAATTTTAGTTAATAAGAAAATTCACAAATAAAGACTCCATAAATAACATGGATCAACTGTTTATATAACAAAAGTTAAAGTAAAATATTGAATTTTATTATACCCTAAAGTTATAGATTAGTTTGAAAAAAAGTGCCAATTTAACCTGTGGAAAAAAAATGTAATAGGAGGCTGAGGTTGTAAACTCAGTGGTAGAGCACTTGCCTAGCATGTGTGAAGAAGCACAGGGTTCAATCCTCAGCACCACATAAAAATAAATAATAAAAATAAATAATACAAAATGTCCATCTACAACTAAAAAATATATATTAAAAAAAAGAAATTGAATGGTAATACTCAACACAGGCAATGATTCTATCAAATCAATACTCACCCTAGAAATGTAATGTGGGTTGGGAATGTAGCTTAGGGTTTACCTATCATGTGCCAGGCACTAGATCTGAGCTCCAGCACTACAGGGGGAGAAAAAAACGAGGTGCAAAAAGGCAATTTTCCAGTAATTTTTAAAAACTTTTAAAATATTTGCTAACTTCTTTTAAAATATTTGCTAACTTCTCTTCTGGAATTAAACTAAAGAAATAATTCAAAATATATAATATGCTAAGTTAATGAAGTTTTTATTGACATCTGACAGACAACCTACAAACTGAAAGATCAACTAAAAGATCCAGTACTAAGCAGATGATGAAAAAACTGTATGGTCTGTTCAGTTAACAGATATTACTTATGCCATTAGGAATGGTAATGGTTGAAACAGTGCAGCAATAATGGAACAAAAATTTTTTTACATTAATTTTTTTAAATATCACAAGAACAGAGACTACCAATAAATATTAACAAGTGTTGAGATAGCAATGAAACTATAAGTAACACTTTTTTTTTTTTTGGTGCCAAGAATTGAATCCAGAAATGCTAACCACTGGACCCTTTTTATATTTTGAGACAGGGTCTAACTAAGTTGCTTAGGGCCTAAGTTACTGAAGCTGACTTTGAACTTGTGATCCTCCTGATTCAGAGTCCTGAGCAGCTGGGATCACAGGCATGTGCCACACTGCAYGTAGCTATACGTAACATTTATAAAAGTTAAGTATATCATTTTCACAAATAAATTATATGTGTGTATATTTATATACACACTCTTTAGTAGAAAAAAAGTACTCTGGAAAAAAATGGGTATTAGGCCAGAAAATAATGAAAAGAAAAAAAAAAAAAACCTAAAAACTCATGAAATATAAACCCCTGTACTTTGTTGTTATTTTCAGTTAAGACTTTCTGTAAAAATAACACCCTTCCCACACAACCTTTTTATAAATCAATAAAACAAGGCTGTCTGTTTTATTCTGAGGCTGTCATACAGAGCATAAATTCTCTCCCCTATATATTTAATCGATATGCCTACATTATTCATATCATACAATTTATGACAGCTATATACATGAGGATGTATACCCAAAACAGGAAAACAGGAACTAGGAGATAGTTGCACATCAATATTCACAGCAGCCACATTCACAATAGACAAAAAGTGGATGGATGAAATGAATAAGGGAAATGTGATCAATACACACAACAAATTATTATTCATCTTTAAAAAGGAATGAAGTTCTGACATATGCTACAATATAGATGAACCTTGACAATACTATGTTATGAAATACATCAGACATAAAAACTATGATTCCATTTATATGAGACACCCAGAATAGGCAAGTTCATGAAGCAGAAGGGAGGTTACCGAGGGTGCGGGCTGGGGAAGACAGGAGTTGCTGGGAGCCTAGCTCCTGTCAGGATGGTGGAGAGCTTCTGCAGCGACAGSGGCTGCACAACGGGAACGCTGTTTAATGTCACCAAACTGCACGCCTTGAAATGGTTATATTGTTAACCACATAGACACTTCTCCCAGTGATATTAGACCTTTCCAGTACTGCAACACTGGCTCCTCGATGGGTAACTGGGTGTTACAATTTGACCTTCAAGAGATCACTAGTATCAAACTTGAAGGCGAAAAAGGAGGAAAAGCTGTCCTTAGATTTCCAGGCACTCTGGAGCTGTCCAGAATGCAAATAACCCACGCTCCACATTTCATCTCCAGGACAGTACCCTTGATCTCCTGGGTTCCAAGTCCCAGAGCTCTGCGGACTCTGAGAACGGTATTCAGGGAACGTGGAGAAACACAACAACTCTGGACCCCAGGAGGGACCGTGGCTGGGACTGCAAGTGGCTTTTCACGTTTCTTTCTTGGGAAACAAAGCGAGCACTGATCCGAAACTCGCTGAGGACCAGGTCCCCTGGTGAGGGCCACGGTGATGGAGACTCTCCACGGGCAGACCTCGCTACTGCAGCAAGGCGAGCGCCAGCCCAGGGCCGGCCTCCCCGCTCCGAGGCCGCCCCTTGACGCCGGAAGCGCGGTCCACGCCTGCGCCCCGGCGCCCTGCGGCGTGAGCGCGCACGTGGCGAGACACCGGCCTGCGCAGGCGCGCCGGAAGCCCAAGGACAGAGCGCAGGCCTACTGCGCGGCCGGGACCCCACAATACCGGACGCGGAGGGCCTTCGCCGCGTCCGGACCCCCACGCAACCCGCCCACCGCCCCGGGAGCGCCGGCCTCGAGCTGGGTGGCGTGCCCTAGAGTTGGGATAAGTCCCCTTTCTCCACGCCGGTCTCCCTCCCTCTCCCGCCGGACGAGGCGCCGCGCGCACCTTGACGCTCTGGTCGCTGGAGCAGGTGGCCATCCGCCGTCCGTGGAAGTCGAAAGAGACATCGTGGATGAGATCCTTGTGGTCCGCCGCGATGCTGCGAGCCACAAACATGGCTTCCGACGACGCGCCTCCTCCGCCAGCCCCTCCCGCCTCCGAAGAGGGCGACGGCGGCGGCGGCGGCGCGTGGCCCGCAGGTTCGGGGACCTAGCCGCCGAGGCGCCTCCTTCGGCCCGCTCGCCCCGCCCCCCACCCGCTCGGTCGCCTCGAGCTCGGCTGGCTCACTTCGCCCCACGCCGGGCCGCCCCTCGCCACGCCCCCGTCGCGCTGGGCACGCCCCCGCTGGCCACGCCCCCGTGACGGACGCGCGACAGAGCCTGCCTCTGGACGGTGCCTAGATCCTGCGGTGAGAGCAGTGCGAAAGCTTGGATATTAGTGCGAATTTAGGAAATGAAAAGGTGAAAAATATCATCCACAGCCTTCAATTTATTTAGGTCAACTATGGAAGTTTCTCCCCCAAACACATAGAGACTCGGAGCTGCTGGATTTGGACAGGAAGGATGGATAGAGGAGGGATGGAGTTGAAGGGAGAGGTGAGGAGCTGGGGAGATCCACCAGGAGGGCAGGGCTCCACATAGTGGGAAGAGTGTGCAAAGACCTCACAGGTGTGATGGGGCAGACATGCCAGTGGTGGGAACACGAGGTAAGGAAATAATTCTATAAATTCTATACTTTCTTTTTCAAGAAGCAATTTATCTGTACCCCTCCTTGGCTTAAGTGAACAGGATATGTTGGCTTACTGATCACTCTTCTGTTATCTGCAGGGAAATAAAGAATCAAAATAATGTTGGTAAGAGACCCTATTCATAGACCAAATCCCGAAACTCCCAGAGACAAGGATAATTCCTCTTAGCCATAAAATGTGTAAGAATTTATGACTCAGAATCCAGTTAGAACCTGTCAGCATGGGCCAAAGTGACCTAGAGTTGTCATGGCAGCAGGCCATGAAATGTGATGTCATCCTGATGTCGGTCAGAAGTCAAGAGGTGGACCTGGGTGAGACTATCTGGAAACTTCTCTGGGAATCCCCAATAAAACTGGAGTGCAGGAGAGGCACCTATTCCTCTCCTCTCTGAGAGGACCCACTCTGTCCCTTCACCATGTCCCCTTCTCCCCTTTCCCATCCTTTCTGATAAACTCATTCATTGCCTGAGCAACATGTCTGAAATCTGATTGCAAGAACAGGGGTGTGAAGGGGCCTTTGCACTGCCTCAGTTTCCTGGAAGTTCTCAACCCTGGAACAAGTGAACAGGGGATGAGGAAATAGAACAAATGGAAGGTTCTCCTTATAGAAACATAAGACATCTACGGGGATGGCAGGACCCCCAAATGAAACCTGAAGTCCCTCAATGGTGAGGTGATGTTAAGAACACTGGCAGAGAGAGAACTGTGAAGGGTAGTGCTCAGATCAAGGATTCAGTCAGATCAAAAAGCAGAGGAACATTCTTCAGGGCATTTAATGACTTTTTTTTTGGGGGGGGGGGTGTTTTTGGTCAGAAAAAGGGGCTAATGGTCAAGTTAGGGAGAATGGGAAAGAGCAGAAACCTGGGTCAAGGGAGAGAAAATATAGACAAAAATTCAAAAGTGAGCCTGAAGAAGGGGCTTGTTCTTCCTGTTGTGCCCAGGAATGGCAAGAATGTGGTACCGGGTAAATTAAACAAATTAGAAAGATTTCAAAACAGGTTGTCCCAGCTGTCCCCTAAAGGATTGCAGAGGGGTGGGGAAACAACCTGGCTTTTCTGGGTTTGGTTTTGTTTTGTTTTGTTTTTGAGTGAGAGATCACACTGCCAGACAGGAAGCCAAAGAGAGAGTTATAAAAAGTCACTCTCCTGAGAACTGCCTCCAGGAGACCTGCTTTCCCTTTCAAGGGCACACTCCCAGTAACCTAAAGACCTCCCACTAAGCCCTACCCTTTGAAGGTCCCACTCCAAGCTGAGGACCAAGGTTCCAGTAATCTTTGAGGACAAATCACATCCAAACCATAGCAGGTGTTTTATTTTTTAAAAYTCAAACAAAATTTCTGCATACAAGACACACAAATTCTCTTTATATTACATAAAAGTACAAAGAAAAGTGCAGAGAGRTACAGAGTAACAATTTTTATCCTTTAACAGGAGGTTAGATTGTGGGGGAAAGGCAACTTTAACTTTCCACCTTGTATGCACAGTGAAAGGGCCTTGCCAGAGCTAAGCTAAGCCAGTGGCAGGGCCACGCCCTTAAACCTTGTCACTTCTTTGTCACTATGACAAAATAACTGAGAAATACAACCTAAGGGAASAAAGATTCATCTGGGTTCATGGTGTTGGAGGTTTTAGTTTATGCTTGGCTGGCTCCATTCCCTGGGCCTGGAGTGAGGCACAGCATCATCCTGGACAGGCCCAGCCAAACAAAGCTGCCCACGAATAGGCTGAGAAGCAGAGAAAGCCAGGAATGAAGGGCCTGGGGCAAGATACACCACTCCAGGTCACATCCCTAGTGACCTGTTTCCTCCGACCATGCTCTGCCGCCTGCAGTTCCTACCACCTCCCAATAGCACATTAAATTATGATCTGACACTGGACTAATCCCTTGAATGAGATCAGAGCCCTCATGAGCCAGTTACATCCCAAAAGTAGCACACGTGAACAATGCTACATTGGGGTCCAAGCCTTTAGCACATGAACCCTTGAGACACACTCCAGGTCCAAACTCTAGCAAACTTTCAAAACTGTGAGCTAAATAAGCCTTTTCTTTATAAAAGTTACCCATCCTCAGGCATTTCGTTGTGATAATAGAAAACAGACTAATACAAAATCTATTGTTTTGATTATTTTAAAAAATCTACTAAATCATAAAGATATTTTTATGTGGGTCTCATTAATTTTTTATTCTAACCAAAATATTTTATTTCTAACCAAAATACAAACATTTTAGTTTATCCATCATCCCCCWGCTTATGCACTAACATACAAAGATCAACATAGGCCTGCTTCCTTTCTTTTATGCATATAGCTTTTATTGTATATGTTTCACAATATTTCTAAAGTTTTCCTTTATATAGTCATGCATATTTCTCATTAGGCTTTTTAAAAATGCTTTATGTTTTTTATACACTTGTGAGTGAGGTTTTTTAATATTGTTTATAAAAAAAAACTATTTTTTTTATACTGAAATTGAACCCTGAGGCTTTTTGCCACTGAGCTATATCCCCAGTCCTTTCTATTTTTTATTTTGAGACAAGGCCTCACTACATTGCTTAGTCTGGTCTTTAGCTCGTGATCCTACTGCCTCAGCCTCCTCAGTTGTTGAGATTACGGGCATGCGCCACCACACAGTTGAAAGCTATTAGTTTTGCTTATTTACTTTTTTTTTTCCTGTTCCTTTACTGCACACTGATTCTTGTAGGTATATATATATTGTAAAAACATAATCTGCAAAATATTTGTATATATGCTTTGTATCAATCAACATCTAATCACAAATACAGTTTCCCCTTCAGTTATTTCAGATAATTTAACACACACATTAAAAAAAWTTGGTTATAAATACATTGGAAGACTTAACTATGAGCAAAATGGGAACATGTGAGATTACCCAAGATTAATAAGAAAACTGGTCCCTGTCTTCAGGTTGGAAGAATAAAAGAAAATATAGTTTTCCCCAGGGACCGCCATTTCTGACTCTCTGAGGTGGCTGTTGGGACTTTTGCTGTCAYGAGACAGGAAGCTAGGAGCCAGTGCCCCGGCTGACTATGGATGTCTAAGGTTAGCAATGGCCAGAGGAGCAAGGACCCACAAACTCTCAACAGCTGAGGTTCCTGGAGCTGCTGCTGCTGGTACTGCTGCGGCAGCCAGAGCTGAGTGAAGCTGCAGTGGCCACTGGTCAGAATCTACTTCTGAGCAGGCAGCCAAACTCTCCCAGTGCCACTGGGACTGCAGTTGTCTGAGCTGCCTGTTCTGAGAGGCAAAGGTGCCTCTGTTTCTCCCACATTCCAAAATCCTCCCAATCATGGTTCCCTCGGTTTAGGATCTATTTGGGCAGGCTCTACATCTTGGTAAACAATAACCCTCAGGGGACAGTCTTCAACTTCCCAGACTCACTCAAAATTGGCCTCCTAGATCCAACCTGACTCGATTTACCTATCTACACTGTCTATTTCTGGCTTCATTCCCCCCTCTAATTTTAGGAACTCCTTATTGCTGTAAGGAGAAGGGGTGATGGCTCATTCTGGCTACTTCAGAGCTGAAAGAGGGCGTCGAACTCGAGGGGGGCTCAACAATGTGGGGGACGACATGGGGGATGAAATGGGGGACGTGAGTTCCCTTTTAGAAGTCAGTTCCATTTGAAGTCTGGTTGGGGAAAAACAGGTTGACATCTGGGGATGGGTGCTTCAGCTGGGTTTTCATCACCTCTCTATTGGGGTGTCTTGAATAGGCTTATAGGGGGGAATCCCGGATGAGCCCCCATATGTTATGCTCGAATTCAGGACCCCCAAAAGACCACCAGAGACCAAGATCGATGTAAGCAGCAAAGAAGTTTTATTGTGAGCTAGCTCGGTCCTTCGCACGCACACAGCAACTGGTGACACTGAGAGGCTCAAATCAGTTTTGATTATTCATATTTTCCTTAAGAAACTCAATCATTTTACCAAGATACTTAAATATATATATCAATAAATAGTGTATACAGACATAATATATACATTATATGTGTATATATATAAATAGTAATTTTTTATAATTAAAAATGACATCTAGAAAAGGGAACACTTACACTGTTGGTGAGACTATAAATTAATAAAACTAATATAGAAATCAATATGGAGTTTCCTTGAAAGACTCGGCATGGAACCACCATATCATCCAGCTATATCACTCCTCGGTATTTAGCCTAAAGAATTAAAGTCATCTTACTACAGTGATACCTGAATACCCATTGTTTATAGCAGCAGAATTCACAACAGCCAAGTTATGGAACCTGTCTGTCAGGTGTCTTTCAACAGAARAATGGATAAAGAGAATGCAGACACCATGGAGTTTTATTCAGCTGTAAAGAAAAATGGAATTATGTCGTTTGCAGAAACGGATGGAACTTGACAACATGATGTTATGCAAAATAAGCCAAACTCAGAAGGCCAAGGGTTGTGTTCTCTCATATGTGAAACCTAGAGAGGAAGAAGAAAGGTGGGGGGATCTCATGAAAATCAAAGGGAGATCAGTAGAGGAAAGGGATCAATGTGGAGGCATTGAGGAGGGAGAGGAAGGTRCTGGGGGTGATACTGGCCAAACTATATTGTTATATTGTGTGCATGTATGAATATATAACAACAAATCCCCAACACTGGGTACAACTATAATGCACCAATAAAAAATTAGAATTTTTACATATCTAATATAATGTCTTTCTCTTGTTTCCATTGGTTTTTGTCTTCTTACCTTTATCTTTACCATTTTAACCCTTTTTAATTACGTTTAATATGCATTCCAAAATGTACACATATCTTAAGTGTATTCACTGGATATTCACAAACAGAAACACCCATACAATCTTTATTCGATGGAAAAACAATTTCACCACAAATGAGAAATAAAACAAGAGAGGGGAACCCCTGCACCCACAAAGAGCTCTGGTGGATAAACCTCTGGGCAGGAAAAAATCCCATGAAAATATTTATGTCCCACATGAATGCTCACCTAAGGGTCACCTCAGCAGAGAAGGACTTCAATAATTGAGTGCATAGGATGTACCCATTCTGTGACTAACAATGAGTCTCTTTCTGCAGCCACCCTGGTCACCACCCACTGAGCTCATGAATAAAGTGGCCATGGTGGTAGTAATGAAGGTTGTACAGAGGCTCAGCAACATGGACTTGCACTCACTGAGGCTGACCTGGCCATGACCACCATCGAATGCCTCTGTCAACAGCAGAGATTGACACCGAGTCCTTGGTACAGCATTGTTCCCCAGTGTGGTGGACTGTTTTCATCATAGAATTTTATCCTTCTTAGAAATGACACATTCCATATGTGGATGTGCCTTCACCCTCCCTGTATGCCATGCTTCTGCCCA